CCCAGTGACTTGGAATTGATACACACTGTCAAAAAGGGTTTTTTGAATAGTCTCTCTTTAACACCTTTACCAGATTTTTACCCTCTTTTGTAGAGATGTGCAGTTTAATGTTGCATTTCAGATCATTTTTGGCTGAAAAAGTGTGTCATGGAATCAGGGTGTCCCCTGAATACTCCTAACAGTTGGAGATGCCTCTTTGTTTTGAACACTAGAATCCCAACAGACCCATGACAGCAGTGGAATTACACTTTTGACCTTGTTCACTAAAGTGTTTCTTTCTCTGTGTGATTGAATGAGAGAACCAACAAGAGCTTCCTCTAAAATGTATGAGTTTCCCTCTGTTTCTCATAAGAAACTCAGAAAGGATGCTGTGCAGTTTTCATCTGATTGTATTCTCCACAAAAGGAAAAAAAAAAAAACAAACCCTGTTTGATTCAAGGAGAGGTGGCTGTTTTTATCCATATTAAATGTGCAAAAGCAGTTGATATATCAATATTTTCCTTAAGCCAGTGTTGTTGCTACATCCTGAGCATGACAGCAGCATTACAGCACAGTGACAGATTCTTACCCTTTTGTTGCTTCATTCCCCATGTATTTTAAAAGGGGATATATACTAAGGCACCAAATATAATTTCAAAGTATTGAATCTGAATATAGAAAAAAAGCATATATGTAATATTCTGTGTGAATTTAGCTGATGATTATGAACTACACAGTCATGTCAATCCAGAAGATAAAGGTACTGTTTTCTGTAGGGGTACGTGCAGCCTTTTAAGATCCTGGTGTTTCTTTTCATTTCCATGTGACTGAGTAGACATAGCCAGGCTGCAGGATTTGCCATGACTGCCAGTTCTGCTTTGCGCACTGAGGCACTGGCATGTCTCTTGCTCCACATTTAGTTGTTCGGGGCATGGCTTCTCTGAGTCAGAAGAACTCAGTGAAGTGGCCAGAAGAGAGAGAAAAAATCAGATTATTGTTCCTTCCATTTTAGGCTACTATGTATTGAGGACTTTTTTCCCCTGTTATATTCCTGTTTTCTGTGAGTATTTACCAGCTTTGGATTAGTGAACATGCTTTAATTGTCGTACAGAACACATATCTCTGAAATGCAATGGCAAGTACAGTCTGTAGTTCCTGTGGGTAGGGAGTTAGGTAGCTGGGTTCAAGAGAGGGGAAAGGACTCAGAGAAATCTATAATTTGTTTTTAGAAGGGATCAAAATAAGTAACTTACTGGCCTCTATGGCCTCAAGACCTCATAGCAGTTTCTCCTGTTTACTTGCTGTAGACGATGCTGTGTGGAGAGGGCATCAGAGCCATGGAGCGTGGAGGGCAATGCACTGAGGGGGCTGCAGATCTGTGACTCCTGGTTTCCTATCCTGCCAATAAAGCTTTTTTTTTTTTAATTACTACTTCACTGGTGATATAAATTAATGACTGGTATGGGTCTGAAGCAACCTTGCCATCAGAGAATATTTGGTTAGTGTTGACATACTTCTTCCCTGCAAACATGAATCATCCATCTGCCTTTGGCAGGCTTGCCCTGTGGCTCTGCTATAATGTGTTTCACCAGTGTGGCTGAAATTAAAATGTCACTATTAAACATGGCAGAATCAGATGCTTTCTGGGCACCGCATCTATTTGTGTTCTTGCTTCCTATGTAGTTATTTCTGACAGTTTAATAGGACAGCTGTATTCTGGTATAAAATCATATATTCATATATCCTCAATGCATGGGAAGCAAAATGCTTTCAGAGCACTATTTCCTTGCATACGTGTGTCTTTCATGCATGGCAGAAGCAGTAATGCTCATGTAACACCATGTTGCTGCTTAGTCCATTAGGCAGTGTAAAGTTAAAATTAATTGTCCTGCAGGACCATATAGAGTGGGTCTCTAAAAGCAGTTGCTGGAGCTGTTTGCAGCTGCTGCATCAGCCAGGCTCCCTCCTCGTGAGCAGTTATTGACTCTGGGCTGTTGAATTCAGGGCTCTGGAGGTTGCGCAGTGGGAAAAGCCTTCAGTCGGTGCTTGGCAGCTCTGTCACTGGAAGGTCACAGAAAGGGCATTTCAGTCTCCAAACCCAATTAGGGCCTGAGTCAGCACCTCTTCAATCACCAGGAAGATCCCACGGGGCAGGTTGGCTCCCAAGCCAGGCTTTTGCACCCAGCCTCTCTAGTGAGACGGCCAACAAATGTGTCCATTTGTGTCACTTGGGCTCTCAGAAATACCCTTTGCTGTCATGAAATGGCTGAGCAGCTGGTTCAGAAAGGTAAAGAGCCAGGTAAGGGATTAGAAGCCCACCACAGTTGATTTTGGACCAGTGACCTGTACATGTGCATCTGCATCTCTCCCATTACTCATATCTAAAGCTGTCTAATTCCTCAGATCAAATCACTTAACTCTTATGAGCAGCTGTAACTTGCAAGTAGAATAAAGTCCAACTGCTGAAAACATTAATGAAGAATATAAAACTGAGGCTCTGTTTTATCAGGTATCAACAGTATTGCTTTAATTCCTCCCCCTCCAAAGATTTTTTTTTTTTTTTGGTGTGTGTGTGCTGGGTTGTGCTTTTCATCCCAGGTGGCTGCAATTTCTAGTGAAAATAAGTTGAGCCATGAAAGGTTGACCCACTCGCCTCTGAATTGCTTTTTATGTGAGTCCCTCAGGGCCCAATTCTACCCATAGAAGTGAGAATGACAGCTATCAACATATATAGGAAGTATGTCTACGTGCACAAAGAAAAAGGTGAACCCCAGACTGGTCTGAGTGGTCTTTAAAATATGGATTTCCTGTGAAATGGTGATTAAAGGGGAAGCAAGGGATAATTAGAAAATTAGACTGATGTGCTAGCAGTTATATCAATGTGTGTTTTTATATTAGCTCTTTCAGACAAGCACAAGATCAGAAAATCCCTTATGACTCACTTAAACTCCTGTGTAAAATTTGGTTAGTGTCTGATCAGCTCCTTTGATCAGTCTAGTCTAGACTGTTGTCAGGGTACATACTAAACCCACAGTCCCCTTAAGTGCAGGCCTACTCAAGTGAATCAAATAACATATAAAAAGGTTATAAAAAGTGTTCACTGTTTGAGTAAATTAATCTGGTTCAAAGCTGAATACTTTAGGAATTGCAAAAATAAAAGCAAAGGTGTTGCTGCAGAAAAGATCTGGTAGAATTCTTAATTCACATTTAAATGACTGTCTCAGAAATAAAAAATAAAATCAGCAAACTTTTATTATTTTTCATTGGATAGGCACTTTTGTAAGCCGGTAGTGTATCCATAAAAAAGAAAAAATTCTGTCCAAAATTCTGCACAAATTTGTTTTAAGAAATTGAAGAATTACAACCACCATGTCTGTCTCATTTCAAGCAGACAATATTGTTTTTAAGTGTAGCAGTGGAGGGCCAGTGGGAGCCTTCAATATTTGGGTTGCACTCCTGCCTACCTCTAATTTCTACATGGGATTATTTGCAAGGGAGTGCTGGACATCCAGCAGCATTAAATTTGTTACCTGTCAAAGCAGAGCAGTTTTCCCCTCATCACCAGAGCCTCTTCCTACATCTTGCATTGTAGCGCCATCCTGAACCTGTCTGTTCTTTGACACATGAATCTCAGAAATGTGAACAGTTCCTTTCCTCATAGATAATGCTTCTGCCTTTTGCATACTAGCAATAGTAGATGACCATTTGGAGACAATTTTACTTCAATGACCTATCCAGAACACCTGGAGCCACTAATTTTACAAACCTGGTTTGTACCTGAGCTGATTTTCTCAAGCTGCCTATGTTTTGAGTTTAGAGGTTTAAGTTTTCAATCTTCGTGTGCCTACCATATTTGTTGGTTGGATTACAGTGCCATCAGAACACTTGACATAGAAGCAATGACAGCAAATTCATAGAATTATCAAGGGAAGTAAGCTAGCTCATAAATAGCACACCAATGGGATGAAAAGATCACAGAAATGAGGCCATTTAAAACAGAGAAACTGGAATCCAAGTGGCACATGCTTGTTTTAGCTACACCAGATTCTGTCTGAATTCAAGAGGAGACATGGTACACTGCTACTATCCAAACACTAGATTATTCTCCTGATGGCTGAGAAAAAGCTCCAAAATAGGCATTAAAGTCTGTAAGATGATATCTAATTTACGCAGCACTTCAAAAGCACCAACCATTACTATAATTACAGAGCTACTTAAATAATGGAAAGATAAAGGAATGTGATTCTGTGAGTGAATACATGACTGCAGAATGCAATAGGAATATTGGGTAAATTCTCCCTTCTTGTGACTTATATTCCAGCCAGTGGCATTACACCAGGGAAGGATTGGGCCATATTTTGCGTGCAGCATAGCAGATTGTTAAGAGGCAACAGGCAGGTATTTGAGAGAATTTCCTCTCTGTGATTTGCAGAAGTGTGCCTGAAATCCCCTGGCTGATCTATGCTCATTCCATTACCTGTCATCTTTTGGCAGATAACTAGTTAAATTTGTGTTAGATAGGATTCACTTTGCTATTTCCATTTGCTGTTGGAGTAGAAATGTTCTGATGTGATATATGACCGATCAATAATTGGAAAGTGCTTGCATGAGGCATTTGAAGCCAGTCATTTAGACACTGTCAGCCCCAACTGGTATTAAAATCTGCAAAGAGTTGTTCTACAATCAGTGATTCTGCGCATCTCCTCTGGGTGTCTGCATTTCACTTAATAAGGATACCCTGTAGATATCAACTGAAATAACTCTTGCCTTTGTTGTTTGGATGTTTTTGTGAGCTCTGAAATGAACTTGGCTTATGCAAATATACTTTGTTATCCAGTCTAAAGGATGCAGGGCAGAAATTATTATCCTGTTCTGCTGGCCACCTCGGTAGAAAAGAAATGGCTTTATTTGACTATGATTCTGAAGAGAATAAGAGTGTGACTGTACCCTGGGGTTTCCTGGGTATTTTTTACTTTTTTTTTTTCTTTTTCCGTACTGATGACGTTCTATTACTGTTACAGGGCTATAATAATCCGAAATGGTGATGTCATTCCAATGTCTTCAGAATTCACTCCAGAGACTGAACGCCAGCGACTTCAGTATCTGGTAAGAGACCTGAGGACCAAATCAGGTGTTGCTGATGACCAGCATTGCCCAGTAACACCTAAGGCTCAGAGAAATGCCACTGAGTTACTGTGGCTTTGTGAAGGATGGTGTGTTCACTGAACACCAGTGACTGATCATATATGTCTTTTAGCCATCAGCAAAGGTGAAGAAAAGCCTGGTGGTGCAAATCTCAGTGAAAGGAGTCTTATCTCTTCAGTGAAGACCACTGATATTGCAGAGTTTGATTAATTTATTCCAATAGTATGCTGGTAGTATCTTGATCAGGGAAAATATATCCAATTTAGAGGTGATCTCAGTGAATATTAGTAGCTACAGGATAGGGTGGGTGATCAAAGACTGGTTTTATTTAGTGTAGCAGCACCCATAAAGCTGGGACAGGGTGACTATCTGAGGATATATGGGATGCTTTATACACCAGGCTGTATTTGCTGATAAGCTGCCTAAGTAACATAAGTCAAAATGCATAGTGTTATTTTTCATGCAAACAATCCTGTTACTTTTTAAGTTTTTCATCAATGGTCAGATTGGTTGGTTGAAGTTGGTTGGCTGTTTGTCAAAATGTCATTCCTAACATGGCTGAGAAATTTCTTCTGTGCTTCTTCTGGTCTCCTGCTTTTTCCTCTTAGAAATTTAAGCTTTGGCCAAGGCAGGCTCACTGTCAGCCTTGCCTGACTTGAGGTGGACAGGCCAAGGCTAGTGGGATTTCCCTTCCCCCAGCGCCACCTCTGGGGAAGGGAAAAGGAACAAAACCAAAATAATATATATATATATATATATCCCAATTAGTAGCCCAATATCTATCCACTAAAAGAGTTAGCAAAGAAATATCTCACTACTCTCCTTGGGACAACTGAGAGTCGCTCTGGAACGATCCGCCGGCAACCTCCACCTCCCAAGGTTGACAAGGCCTTACCAGGCCTTGCTCCCCAACACGACAGACTCAACAGCAGGGAACCTGCACCTCCAAGCTGCCGGAAGGAAAGAGAGCGAAGGCCTTTCCTCCTTTCTTCTTATAGTCTGGCTTACGTAAAAATCATAGGGAATACTGGGTAAATCTGGGCCCTTCCTTGGCTACAAACTGGTCACGAAGGAAGGCCTAGACCAAACTACCACACGTCTCTTTTCTTCAACCTGGCCCAAGCAATGTCATTTGAAACTAGACAAAATGCTGGTGGTTGAAAGGTGGGGTGGAAGGTTCCAAAGAAAAAATTTTAAGTGTTTCCTCAGTTGTCACACTTGATTTTTTTTTCACTCAGGTTCACTGGCTTGAAGCTGAAAATTTCAGAGGGAAAACTGCTTTTGGGAGTATTCGTATTCAGAGAAAAAATGGAAAAGAGGCCTAATAAATATTTGCAGTTCAGTTAAATTTAAAATAATTTGTTAGCCTTTAAAATAAAAGGTATCTTTAGCATCTAGGGAGTCTGCTACTTCTGTAGGAAATACAAGATAAAATATTGCCTACAAGGATTGTTTTTCTCTTTTGACATCCTTTCTGGCTTGTATTTGAAACCAGTAGCTGATCTGAAAAATATTTCTGCTGTTTTCTTTCTGCTCTGAAAAATTCCTTTACCTTTGTTTGTTTATTTTAATTCTATATATAACAAATATCCCAGGTCTATGGGTATCATGTTCAAAGAGAATACATGCAAGACAGCAAGAGCGTGAAACAAAATTAGAGGTAATTTCAAACATGATATTCCGTAAATAACATTTTTACTCTATTGTTAAAAAAAAAAAAAGATGACCCCAAATTTCTTATAAGGTTGGCATAAACATTACACTCCAGAGGTTGCATCTGTCTAGCTGATTAGAAACCAAATAATTTTACTCACTTTGTCTGTCCCCAGGTTCTGCTATCAGTCTATTCCACCATGAACATCTCTCTTCTGCTGTTCCTGTCTAAAAGTTAGTTACTTTGGATGTACTTTTTATTTGCAGTTAGAACTGAATTTCTTTGCTTCAAACGTATGGCACTGCTCTTCCTGCACAATAGGAAGAAAATCACTTAATCATTTTAGTGTTCATGTTTTACTTGGTAAATGCAGAGGTACTGTTCACTGTGGAGAAGTTACTGCACAAGTAAAGGGAGGGTATGGGTTTACCGCCTGCAGGCTACTGAACATTGGTTCCCTGTGCAGTAGACACTCTTGGCACAATCAGGATGAAGGAGCTTTCCTCTGCCTTTAGTGCCTATTCAGCCACACAGGAATTTCATTTAGGTCCTCTTTTCTGAGCCTTAATTTCCAAGTGGAAAGAAATCCATAGGATAATGAGTCGTTCAGGTCATGTGAATATCTCTGTATGAAGTCCTCCAACCTAGTCTTACACAAAACTGTGCTTCAGCTAGTACTGATTAAGTAACTGAGAGGGAAGGGAAACAAATATTTTCCCTATCTGACTGCCATTTTAATGCACATTTATTGCCATGCATCCAAGAATGGCCTTGGGCATAGGCCTCTGGCATGGAAACCTTAAAAGAACAAGTTGACTATCCCATCATTTGGATTTTTAACCAGCTCTAGGCATGGTCATCACTCCATAGGAGGGCAGTGGGAAGACAACATACAGCTGCAGATTTCAGGCAGATCATATGGCAGAGACAGATTTCTGTCAGGCAACTTGTGAGAGTATTGCAGAAGGCAATCAGTCTTTCAGTCAGAGAGTACTTCTTAAGACATAGGTGTGAAAGCTTTGCACTGGTATTCCCTTGGTCCTTCAGCTTCTGTAGAGGTTCAGTGCACCATGCTGCTTCCCTCCCACTGGCAGGAATTCACAAGCCTCCTTTTCTTTTGAATTTCTGTGTCTCTTTTCTTTTTAGCACTGTAGCAGGAAAGCTCCACACAGCACTTGGGAAAAGCCCTGGCTTTCTGTATCAGTGTATCTTGAGGGAAAACAAAATACAGTATTGACTGGGAATTGCTCTGGTACATTCGGCAGTTGTGCAGGCAATGACTGCCAGAAGGAATTTTTCTTTCTTCTTCTGAGGAGATATTAATTTCAGTCATGATAGTCTAAATTGCAACAGTAAATGGCATAGATTTTGTTACTTATTCCCTTGGAAAATATGTTTAAAATGAATGATGAATTGAGTGTACTGCAGATGGGTACACTTCTATTATCAAAGTTGCTCATTGAAGATGTCATGTGAGTTCTTTGTGGTGTTAGCATGTACCGTGGCTGTGTGTGTAGTCAGGCAGCCCCTCAAAAGTTCACCAAAGATGGTGCACAGTGACTACCAGGGCAGGTGTTACTGCCAGTAGAGACAGGGTGGCCACCAGCAGCAGTGAGCCATGGGTGCTCTTTGTGTTTGGCACCATTCAAACAAAGGTTCATGAGCCCAGATAGGCATGGGCTCAAAGAGGACCTATTCTTATTTTGTTATTCAGATGAGGATAAAGTGATACTAACTCACCTGCTGAAGGATGCCTGGGCAATCTGAACCTGAAAAAGAAATGCACCTAGATCTCCTAAATGTCCAGGCAATGCTTCAGTTACAAGTCAGATGTAATTCTCTTACAGCTTGTGACTCCCTGCATCACCCAGTGTAGGATTGCTTTGGCCATCTGACACGTTACATGATGCTGTGGTATAAGAGATGTGTGCTTCTATGAAAAGGGTCCTGGTCTTTCATAAGATAAGAGACCAATCCAGGGATGGATTTGGCTTCTACTTCCCTCTTTCCTTCTACTACCACTTCCTTTAGTTTCAATCTCTCTTTTGCTTAAACATGTCCATTTGATAATGGCAGAATCATTTGCAAAACTTCTGGGTGCATTGTGCTGTGTGCGCCATTGTGAGTGGTAGTTTCATATAGTAGAACATCCTATTGTAGAAAAGGGCACAGTATGATAAGAGTATAAGGCTTTAAGGTATAGTTGATGTAAACAGGAATTCTGAAAATAACACAGAATACAGTAAAGCCACTATTGCCAGTGATGTTCCAGTGCAGTGCATACTGGAGGAGCTGGGAAAGACATCAGCAGGCCTTATTGAGGTAAAAAAAGATACATGCTGTGTTTCCTGCAATCTAATTAACTGACAGCTAGTGTGCAAGTCTAAGTTTATCTTAATTTCATGTTTGCTTTTCTGATCACCAGGAAACACAGCAGGAAGTAAATGACCTTTTAAAAGAACCGTGACTAATATTTCCTTGAGCGAAATCCATTTTAAACAACTAATGTTGAGCGTAATACATCCAGCCACAAAATACACCATAAAATGGCAGAGTACCAAAAACACATGGTGCAGGCTATGCCAGATTTATGCCAAAAAGCTGTAGTAGCTTCTGAAAGAGAAAATATGGAAAATGTTCCCATTCCGTAACACAGAATAACAATGTTGTCTGAACCTAGCTCATAAAGAAGGCGTTTGATAGTCACTGTTTTTATTAAAGTTTAAGTTCTCTGGGTGGTGTTTCTGATCTGGGGTTCTTGCAAATTGAGACTAAACAAATTAAAACATGGAAAATATAGTACCTCATCACAGGTGAAATTCTGCTAGTTCACTTACCATTTATATTTCTCATTTGATCACTTGAGGGAATTTTGTGTTATCTACTTGTATATCTTCTGAAAGATCTGTAGGTTTTTAAAGTGTTGCTTTTTATTTATTTTCTAGTTCTGCTGCCCAGCATGGTTTGGTTGAGGAGTAGAAGAGTCTTGCCTCATAGTAAATGGAGAACAGTTCTCAACAAAACCAACTGGAAGTCGCAGCTGAATTTTATAATAGAACATGCTTCTCTCTGTAGAATTACCAGTGAAGCATCAAAAATAACTGTTCAAAAAAAGGGTAAAAAACATGGAGAATTAAGAAATAAAGCAAAACCTAACAAAAATCACCATTTCTTCTCATAAGATTCAGATCACAGACACCAGAAGCTTCCAAATTTTTCTTTTCCCTCTGTTTCACTGTCGCCAAAAATATTAGAATCGAGTTAAGATCCTTAGATTGTAAGTCAAGCATTGAGGCTTGGCCGTGGAAGAGAAATCTTATTTGAACATTAGCAGTCCACTGGTAACTGCCAGCTTTATTAATCTTATTTCAGTTGTGACCTCAGACTTTCCATCTGAGTAAATCTTTATGAAATACAGTCTCTCCCCATCACTTTACCTTTTCAGTAAAGGAAATTCTTGTTTTCAAGTGGAAAAATGCTAAAAACCTGTACTGTTTTTCTTCTGGACTTGTCATTCAGACTAGTAAGTAATCTCACAATCTAAAGTTTAGATAACTTCATTTTGATGTCTATTAGGGGTTTTTTCCTTAAATAAGACTTCTTATTTTGTAGGCAGGCAAAAGTAGTCTTTAGCTAGAAGTGGTTTGTAATGTTTTAATTAAGACAGGCTGTGCATTTTTAAAAGTGAACTGAATTGCACTTTCAAAGCAGACTGACTTAATTGTTTACAATATCATAAACTAGAAAGAATTAAAAAAATACCAAAAACATCCACTTCTTTGTTGTCATACAGACAATAAATATCATTCATGTGTTGTGATGCATCAAATCATTAGGAGCGTTCCATCTTTTTTGCAACTGGAGGAAAAATAAATAAAAAAACTTACATGTACTTTTAAATAGAGAGTCCAGAGTTCTGAAAATATGAAAAACCTCATGTGGACTAATACTGTTGGACCTCTCAAAAGTCATTAATGCTTCTGAACCACTTTTCTAGTGAGGAACAGTGATCCATTTAGAGGATCCTTGAAAACAATATTTGGGTGGAGAAGGGGACCTTGGCTGACTGTAGACTGCAGGAAAAAAATGTATTTCCCTTAACTGTACATAGAGAACTTCTTGGATCTCCTGTTCCCGAAAGGGATCACAATGTCAAGATCACACTTGCATGCTTGAAAACCACCTCTTGAAAGCAGAATCCAATCTTGTTGGCTATACACAGCAATCTCCCTCCGTCCCATTTCAGCTGAGCTTGAGGTGTTTTCTGGAAGGATGTCTGGTGACAGGAACAGGGGCAAGCTGATAGAAGGTTAGCATTGTGATGTGTTGAGCCTGATCCAGCGAATGGAAGCAGGCTCAGCCCTTAAGTGCAGGAAATATTTTATTGTGAACTATCTGCATGATAGATGCCAGGTAGATCAATAAGGGCTTCCCCTGCTTCCTGCTGCTCACCTTTGATGAGCACTGGATTTATGACAAACCCACAAACTAAACCCAGCTCATTTCATCTGCCTTGATGGCAGCTGCTGCTGAAGATAAGACAGACTTTATTGCCTTAACTGGCTGGATAAGGAAAAAGAGTTACCTGCAAAAAAGTTAAGAAATGCAACTTTTTCAGTTCCCTAGCCAATTTGACTGTGTCTTCACAAGAGCTCGCTCACAATGTGGCTTCGAGGAGGGAGAAAGGCCTTTTTATGGAAGTATTAAAGAAAAAGGAGTGAGGTTTATTTCAGAAACAAGAAATAGAGTATGTTTAGAATTAACCTATTGTGTTGAGTGATATGTGTATAAATTCAATCCAAAAATTTAGACAGTGGACAAATTGCCTCGAGATGCTCTTCAGTATGGTCAGCTCTGGAGAACATGAGCCTTAGGCATGACTCTGGCAAAGAGGCCTCCCAACAGCTGAAGAGCAGTACACCAGAATGTAAAGCTACAGCATTTGAACATTAAAACCATCAAAGACGCTAATTGCAGTTGTGACACAAAACTGCTGCTGCTTTTCTTGAAGTCTATTTTACATGAAGGAAATAGTTTTTAGAAACAAGAAAATAAATTGCTCTGCAGCTTGTGATTATTTGCAGTATCACGTGTGATGGGGCGCAGCACACTGAGCAGGTAAAAGAGGATGTTTTTCTTGAGGTGTTGACAGTTGAAGTGTGGTAGTATTGTGGGTTGTATGTGTTGTTGGCCTAGCTGAACTGGGAGTCAAAAAGCTTCAGCTTCACTCCACATGCACTCCTCCAAGTCTCTGCTTGCTCCATGGCTTTATATTTGATCATTTCATTCTCTCAGGTTGATGACATACCAAAGGAAATATGTTCTGTTTTACAAAGCCCTGCAGACTCCTTCAGGGTCAGTGGATGCAGTGTACTGTAGAGATCCCAAATTTTGAGGAGCAGGGAGAAGTGAATGATTTTAAGGGCAAGAGGACTGCTCCCTATAAGGCTGCTGCTGGACACCAGGCAGGGTCAGAACTGGTGTATATGCACATTGTTTGCTGAAATGGAGCACATCATCTTCTTTATTTAAAAAGAAGGGTGGAGGAAGGGTTGGAGTTTGTGTGGGAAGGGAGCTGGAAGGGATGGTAATGCTACCTCATTAAAAATAGATAATGTCTTTTTCTGTGTGGTATCTGTGGTTTAATTTCTGCCCACAGGCTTACATGCAGCCCCACTTGCTGGGAAATGAATTCACGCATTTAGAGTTTCCACGGAGGGTGCAGCGCAAGGAAGTTGGAAAGAGGATGCTCTACCGTGACTTCAACATGACTGGCTGGTAAGAATGTGTCCTTCTCGGCATGGGGTCAACCTTCTCCCTAACCAATGCCTGCTTTGACTTTGATTAGTGTAAACTGGTCAAACATGGAGGTGCACCCCTGCACACTAAAAGAAAAGGCATTTCCTTCTTTCAGATGTATCTTTCTTTTAGAAGTTATTGTTTTAAATAAGTTGACCTTCCCGCAGAGCCAGGACGTTATTTCATTTTAATGTGGGAGTACTCAAAGCAGACCAAACACATAAAGGGGAATGCCAGGGAATGTTTCTGGAAGCTAAACAATTTTCCTATCTTGGAAGTAGCTCTTTGTAAATTTTGGATCAGAATCTGGGCTGTGATGCCTTTGCATGCTGAGGAACGCTTGCAGAAGGGAAGAGTTGCCTCCCATGCTCCTATGCAGCTGGCCCCTGATTTGGGTAGTTCCTTGAGGAATTGTTTTAGAGATGGGCTTATCTGAACAAAAGTCATAATCAGCCCAAAATGAAAAGGTTTGAATGAACAACATTGACTTAAAGAAGTGAAGACAGAAAGAATGATGATTTATTTTTTTTTTTGTCTCTGGCTAAACATCTTCATTGTTTTTTATTGGTTCAAGAGGCTCCTTCTCAAGTGACTCCCAGTCATTTGGAGAAGCCCTAATCTTTGCTGTTGCGAGTTCTGTGTGGGACCTATGAAGGCAAAAGCCCAATATATGTGAATGGTCTTCATTTCTGTAATGTTGTGTTTTAACCTCTGTAGTAAATGTCCTTTGAGGAAGAGAAAGAATAGAGGGGGGTTAAAAAATAAAGCCTGAATTCTTGTAGGTTTGGAAACTTGGATGCTCACTGGCAACAACAGCTCCACATCACTTCTGATTTGTCCCATACTTTATAGACCATAAATATAATGATGTTTTAATGGCAGAATAATGGTCTAAGTTTAATATTATCTGGAGTGTTTGTGCAGAACATGTAAATCTGGGAATAACCATCATTGTCTCTCATCTTGAACAGCTGCTAGTAGAATATGCAGTCTCACCCTGGGAATGATGACTTCACATTTTAAAAAGGCTACAGGCATGAAAAAAAGAATAGGAACAGAATGAGAACATTGGATTAACTGAGGACTTAGACTGCAAAACATTTGGAACATCATGAGACACTCTCCCAATTTCTGCAAAAGGAGGGTTTTTGTTAAACTCCCTGATGTCTCTGGAGGCATCAATAAAGAATGGTTTCATGTAGACTTCCAAAAGTTATTTTTCAAGCTGTGACATGCTATTGGGGAAAAAAAACCCAAAACCAACGAAGTGTAGCCTTCTAGTCTGGGGGAGAGCTACAGAAGTATAATGGGCCAGGAACTTCCTGAGAGGAGGGTAAGAACAGATTTCTTTTATCATAGTTGGAAGGCAAAGAGGGTTTCTTCAGAGATATGGGAGTTGTTTTGCATTTTCCCAGTTGACTACTGGTCTGGAAAAGAAATGAGTCTAGAATGGTAAAGCTGCAGCAGTGGCAGGTAACACCACAGCCCTTTTCCTATTAAACAAGAAGGACCATGAGGAACTGGAAAGAATTAAGTGATTTACATGGGTGGGCATCACAGTGATCAAACTTTGTGGGGATAAATACAAAGTAAAGCACAAAGAGGAAAAAGATGTTTGTGCACACTAGAGGTTCCAAATGAACAATGAGAGCCATGTCAAGAAGCTCAGTATGCTTACTACCGTGATTTTTCCAGACCAAATCACCAGCAGAATGTTGGGATTCATACAGAATGGTTAAAATGGAAAGGTTAAAAATTAAGAGAAGAAATAATTCCTTATATCAGTTTCTACCTCATTTGTGAATCTATGCATAGCACTTCAGCATATTCAAAATGGTTATTGCATAGCTAATACTGTTTGGCATTAGAAGAAGACAGATAAGAAGAAACTCAAATTTTAAATGTAGAATAAGGAGTAAGGTAGAAGAACTTTAGTAAGTTGAACTGGAAGATCTTATTTAGAGTATTGTTTTCCAGTACTGGTGTGTGAACTGAAATCTAGCATATAGTGTGTAGGAGAAGACAGTTCTTTCCTGTTGTTTTTTATGAATTTCCTGAAGTGTAGGACACATGTTGATCCAGTTACAGATTCTAATATGGTCAGTGCAGAAATTGTCACCAGTTGAGTACAAATGTGCTTAGCTGCAAGCAGTTATTCTGGAATAAATCCTTGCACTATGACTTGAAAATTTAAGTCTGAATTCATTGCAGTATTGTCCCAGAAATAGGTGGTCTGTGCCAAGCAAAAGCATGTGGAGACTGTGATGAGACTCTCTCTCCCTGCTGTTCCTTTTGACTTCTGGCTGGAAGTGGAAAATAGGGGCTACATTTTTTTCCTGAATAAAAGATTTGGAATCTTTTAACTGCTCCATATCTCACAACTAGTGCATCAGTTACCTCTTTGTTTGGTTGCCTCAGGACAATAAAATGATGAGGGAATTGCTCTATCACCATACATTTGTCTAAATCAGAGCCCTTCTAAATAAGGATCTATTTCTTTTTGCAAGGTATTTGCCCAACATATTTCTATTGCATTGAATTGTGTAAAGTGATTTCTTAAGCAGAGGAGAAGCAGCCAGTTACTGTTTATCTAAAAGTCTGGGTCAATTTTAATGATTGAGATTGTGGACAAGACATTAGAGTTCCAGTTTAATGGGCCCTCAGAGGTGATAGTTTGGGGTGGCTGGGGTTTCCTACTGGTTGTTTTCCACTTCAGGTGTTTTGCTTCTCTTTTCTTCCCTTTCTAATTCATGGATTTAACTGAACAAAGTGGCCAAGGACATGTCTGTTTTGCATTTGTTTCTAAGGACACTATCTACCATGAAGAATAAATTAGCATATATATTCCTTTTCTAGAAAATGTCAGATGGAGCTTTGGCCAGCCAGAGCTTGATCCACTAAAACACTGCTGAACTTTTATCACATACAATGCAAATGATCAGTTGTCTGAATTTTTTTTTGTTCATTGACGTCACTGTGTGTTGACATCTGCACATACATGTAGAGAGATGCAGGTGAGGTTAGGAAGAAACAACCACTCTTACACTTAATTACTGAATCCTTAAGTGAGAGAATGTAAAACACTCTCTGGTCTGATGTTTCCTCAGGAAAATGAACTGTTTTATTTTACAGTTCAGGATAGTATCTGTGTTTTCTATTAGAAGCTGTATAATTTTTTTTCTTCATTTTTATCCTCCTCCTTTGCTCTGGAGCTTTTCAGATTCTCAACAATGGCTTGGCTTGACCAGCTTGTTTGGATCACAAAAGGTTATTGTCTTTGGGTCTGTCATGATGCATTTGGCTTTTTATTTTTTTCTTTCTGCTTTTTCTTTCTTTTTTTTTTTCATGTGAAATTTCCACACTGGCTTTGTCTCCACAGCCCACAGTGGTAGCAGAGCTGCCAAGTTTCCCCACAGCATTAGGACAACCACTGATCCAGCAATGTGTACTGCATTACTGGTCCAGGCTGCCTGTAACTGCTTTGAGACTAGCCTTTCCCTTCTCACTCCAGCTCTCCTACCCTTTCTCCTCTCTCTGCAGTGGCAGTTGCAATGAGAAATAATGCTGTATTAAATATATCTAAAATAAATCCCATTTTGGTGGGAGCTGAGAGCTGCGTCTCCTGCACCCCATCTGCATTGTGGTTGAACAGCCATTGCAAAACATGTACTGTAGCTGGCAAGGCATCTTAAGAGCAGCGTCTCCTGGTGCACAAGCCTCCGAGCTGTCTCAAGCCATAATTTGCTGGCAGACATCTGTGTACTGAGAGTATTTCACAGCTGGGTCTCTGGGCTGGGGTTTTCAGGCCCGTGGCTTGCAGAGGTTAAACTTGTATCAGAGGGAAGTGTCCTGGTGACTTTGGCAAGTCCTGGCAACAGAAGTATCAGGGAAGACTTAGAGGCCATGTAAGCAGAGGGTGACTAGTGCTAAAAAGGGGGGGCGAATAACCTGAGGTAGAAATATATGGCGAGAGAACAGCAGACCTGATGATAACTGCTCCTTTAAAGTACTGCACAGAATTAGTGCTTTCTATCTCTACCTTTTATTTAAAAGTTAAGGCACAGTTGATCACATTTTCTTCACTTGTAGGTAAACCCAGTGTGAACAATTTTGAAGTACTTTGCTTTGACTAGATCCTAGACACCTTCCCAAAACCTGGTTTTCTGTCTGGCTGTGTCTCTGCTGTGGCTCCTTCCAGAGTTCCCCTCTCAGCCTTACACGGGGCTGGAGGAGTCATTCAGTGCTGCACTTAACTAAAGGTATCCAGAATGCACTACCAACTGGCATCAACTTTGGTGGTTTCAAAGTTACTTTTTTGCTCCTCCTTGGAACAAAAACAGTAGCCTTTCTACTGCTTGCACTGAGGTGGAGTTCTTTAAATGTGTTTCCAGATCGCAGCTTGAGCTTTTTGACTTGATTTTAGCGTGGCAAAAAGACCCTGGATAATAAGTCCATTTTTGACCTTATTTGTTGTTGGCTTCCTTTGCCCTCTGGGATCACACAGAGTTGAGCTGCACCCTATCAGAAATTGTCTGAGCTGGTGTAGTGCCCACCACACCATGGGCTAAAGCCCAAGGCAGCAGTGAGCAGGGGAATTGGGCACTGCCTCTGAGTGCACCGTCTTTGCAGCAGCAGCAGAGCCCTTGCCAGCTCCATGTTCCTGTGTCTGGTGAGGGGGTGCTGTGGCACATGGGGTTTCCCACCCGAGGGTCAGCCGGTGCTGGGGAATCACCCGCCTGCATGATTTATTCCAAAGCAGGGAAGCTGGTGCCCTGAGGCAAGCACTAAGCAAAACCCATTTTATTCTAGAGTCAATATTGTCCACTGCCTGGAAAGCTGCCAACCTGCTCTGTGCTCGCCTTTTTCTTTCCAACAGGGAATGTCTTTCAGCCTCTAAGCATCTGATTAAAAAAGCAACTTCACTTTTCAAGCCGTTTTATTTTGTTTGGGATGGATGCCTTTTGCTTTCATTGTGCAGT